ACTGGGGTCTGCTGGGGTTCACTGGCCATCCCCGGGCTTTCTAGTGTTCTCTGGAAAACCTCCCTGGCACTGAAGCCTGTCCGCTTCCGAAACAGGGTTGTGGAACTCTCAGCCCAAGGCTGATTGTCCTGAGTGGGGTCCCCTGAGCCCCTCCCTAACCTCATTCCCTAAGCTAGCAGCCAGCTCAGCTGGGAGCAGCTCTGCTTGGAGGGGAGCATTTAGTGGGCACAGAGCCTCCTCTGTTCCAGTAACAATGGCCCCTTGATGGCTAGATCGGGTCCCCTTATTCCTATTGGACTTCAGGGAGGAGAAAGGATACCAGCCCTGCCCCCACCCCCAGGCAGTCAATGCTGGGTGTGAGGTTAACTCAGAGGCCTTAGCCTCTGTCCGCCCACAGGGTCTATTTCTTCTTTGTTCTCTAGGCTCTGACCCCTCTCATCTAAACCAGGGACCCCCTTGAGGGGGGCCCAGGAATGGTTCCGTTCATCCGCCTCAACAAGTACTCATTGAACAGCCTCCTGGGCCCTGAGGTTTGGTGCTAAATAGTTGTGGGATAATGGGCATCGCTGCCCTCTGGATTTGGAGTTTTTACAGTGAGCCTACTCTGGTAGCCTGCAGGCTTCAGGGAGCTAATGCCACTGGCAGTGTTAGGCTTTGGCATCTAAAGGATTGTCATACTCAGCTGGGATTAAACACCCCCGGGCCTCCTAACTGACACTGTGCTAAGCATATCACCGCAGTACCCCCGCTTAAAGAGGCAGGGGCTTGTGGAAGGCAGCTATGAATCCTCAGCACCACACAGTTTTGTCCATATTCAAACCTCTGTGGATGTGTTACCTTCCATGGTCGAAGGGATTTTGTGGATGTCGTTTAAGGATCTGGGGATGGCAAAGAGCCCCGGATTAGCTGGGCGACCCCACATAGAACCACATGGGTCCTTATAAAAGGGAGGCAGAGGGAGACTTAGCTGCAGAAGATGTCACTAGGCATCACACCCAGGTTTTTGCGTCTGCTAAGCAAGGGCTCTGGGAACGCTGCTCATGTCCAGCCGGAGGGCTGGTTTTACTGAGTCCTACAACTACACTCTTAGGACTCGGTCCTAGCTAACACAGGGAATGCAGGCCTATTCTTTCTAAATTCTGTGTTTGGTCAGCCAGAGACCCAGACCTAAGGCAGACACCATGACGCTTGCTTATAATTCCAGCACTGGGGAGGCTGAGGCAGGAAAATTTCTGGGAGTTTGGATCTGAACTTAATGGTCAGACTCTCAGTCAAAAGAAGGAAGAAATGGAAGGAGGGACAGATTAGCACTTCCTGTCAGTGTTTCTTGCTGGTGAGCTGGTGTATGGCAGGTAGCAGCTGGCAGCTTCTGCCACCTCCCAGTTGTCCTGGGATAGTGAGGTTCAATGTTCTCAGATATCAGCTCTTGGTCTTTACTAACCCCAGGTTAGAATCATCTAAGGATCTTTTGGCAGTCACTATGCCCAAGCTGTGCCCAGACCAATATAGTTATAATCTTAGGAGGTAGGACTTGGCCATCGGGAGTTTGTTAAGCTCCCTAGGTGATTCGTGTATGCTTTCAGGATTGAAACCCAGTGCCCCAGAGCAGGCTCTACACATTCACAAGATGCCTCTTCTCCTCCACCTGTGCAGACATCACCAATCAATCGCAATTCCCTCCTCCGAGTGGGATGTACCTGTTCAAATTCAGCACGACAGAAAACCTTTTCAAGCCAATCAGCCTCAGTGAAGAGTTGAAATTAACTTGCTCTCCTAGCTGAGAAGTTTAAAACTGTCTGACAAGAGCCATATGTGTGTCCAGCAGTATCTGAACCAAAATAATGACAAAAATAATAACATTGAACCCTTGACGAGAAATAATAACTGCTACAGTTATGTAAAGATTGTTTGGGCCGATTAGGAACAGCCAGAGTGAGTCAGCTAGTGTCCCTCTCCTGCAGTAAATTGCTGCCCAGCTGGGAAAAATACACCAAGGAATGCAGACTAACGGTGCCATAGGACAGACAGGCTCCGGCTGACGTCTGTCTAGACTAGCAATAACAACCAACTGGATACAGGTTCTCAATATAGAGGAATATCATACACACTTTGCTGATTTCCAGGGCAAGCCTGTTATTGGTTTCTTGCCTCTGACCAAAGCAGTCTAAGGAAGCAGGGAGGTTGTCTGTGTTCACAGTTCCGGGGGCAGTCTGTCCTAGCAGGGAAGGCAGGAGACCGGTGGTCACTGCAGTCTTATGGCATCTACAGTCAAGAAGCAGAAAGTGAAGAATCTTTGTTCTTAGCTCACTTTCCCCTTTTGTATTTTTAGACAAGGTCTCACTATACAGCCCTGGCTGTCTTGGAACTCATGATGCAGACCAGGCTGGCCTCAGATTTGCAGAGATCCTTCAGCCTCTGCCTCCTCCTGAGTGAGTGCTAGGATTAAAGCCAAGTGCCACCATGCCCGGGTCACTATTCCTCTTTTTAATTCAGTCAGGATTCCCACGGAATGGTGCTGCCAGCATCTAGGGTAGGACTTTCCATCTCAATGAAGCCTAATCTGGAAAATCCTTGACAGGCACCGTGATTCCATATCCCAATCAAAGTTGACTATCAGAGCAGTTACCTCAAAATCCTGTAACAGGGCTGTCTCTATGAAGGTGAAGAACAGAAAAAAGAAGAGCTGTGTCCTCACGGAAGGCCAGCCCTTGCCCCTCTCCCTCCACGAGGCTCCCGAGCATGCGCACCTCTGATACAGTCACTGCACAGACGCATATCTAGTTGAAAGGTTGCTAATGAGGGGCACTGTGAAAAGCTCCGGGAGCAACAAGCAAGCGGGGCATTAGAGAGGGTATTGATAAGCATGAAGGTGTCAGTGACCCTTTCACAGTTACAACCTGTTTCCTGTCATGTGTATCCTTAGCGTCACCCATATGGGTGTGGCTGTAATTTCATTCCTAGACTAGGAATTTCTGAGCCAGTGAGTATCTTAGTCTGTTGGGGCAGCTAACGTGGTGTCATTGCTTAGGGGACTTAAAAGTAACAGCAAGTTGTCAAACTTGGTTGTAGAGGTTGGAAAATTTAAAATCAAAGTGCCAGCTTATCCAGCAACTAATAAAGGGCTCATTCTCTACGTCCAAGATGAAACCTTCATGCCATGTTCCCACACAGCGGAAGGGGTGACTAAGTTCCTTCACACCTCTTTTACAAGGGCACTAATTTTATGCACAAGGACGCTGCCTTCTTGACCTAGCCACTCTGAAGATGCCAGCTCTAACACTAGCACACCAGGAGTTCAACTTTAAAAATTCTGGAGGGGCACCGACATTTAAGCTACAGCAAAGAATACGTATATTCTGAACTGTGGCATTCAAGTGAGACACTGTCTCAAGAAGTAATAGGGGCTGGGGATATAGCTGAGCTGGTGGAGTGCTCACCTAGCTTGCATGGAGCCCTGGATTCAATACTCAGTGTGGTGGTTTGAATGAAAACGGACCCCATAGATTCATATATTTGGATGCCTTGCCTGTAGTTAGTGGAATTATTTGGGAAGGATCAGGAGGTGTGGCCTTGTTGGAAGAAGTGTGCCATTCCCGGTTAGACTCTCCCTCTCCTCCTCAACTTCTGGATAAAATGTGAGCTCTCAGCTATTACTCCACACCATGCCTGCTTGCTGCTGCCTTGCTTCCTGCCCTGATGTTTATAGACTCACTTTCTGAAATTAAAAGGAAGCTCCTAAATTAAATGCTTTCTAAATATTTAATTTCTAAGCTACCTTGGTCACAGTATCTCTTTATGATAACAAAAAAAGTACTTGAGGTGCTGTGGTAGTTTGAATGAAAATGGCCCCATAAGCTCTTAGGCACTGGCACTATTAGGAGGTGTGGCCTCGTTGGAGGAGGTGTGGACTCGTTGGAGGAGGTGTGGCTTTGTTGGAGGAGGTGTGTCACTAGGACTTTGAGGTCTCAGAAGCTCAAGCCTGGCTAGTGTGTTGCTATCACTTCCTGTTGCCTTCAGATCCAGATGTAGAACTCTCAGGTACCTCTCCAGCACCATGTCTGCCCGCACGCCACCATGCTTTCCGCCATGATGATGATGGACTAAATCTCTGAACTGAAAGCCAACCCCAATGGAATGGTTTCCTTTATAAGAGTTGCCATAGTCATGGTGTCCCTTCGCAGCAATAAAAAACTAATGAAGACAAATATCCAACACAACAAACTAGTAAAATTGGGTATGGTGCCTCACAGCGGGAATCCTAGCACTTAAGAGGTGGAGGCAAGAGGATCAGAAGTTCAAGGTCATCCTTGGCAGTATTTCTAGTTTTAAGCCAGACTGCAATACTTTTATGAGACCCTGGCTCACAACAACAATAACAACAACAACGGCGATAATGATGATGATGGGCTGGGGGTAGTTTAGTGCTACAGTCTAGCAAGGGCAAGGCCCTTGGCTCTGTCCTCACTTTCAATAATAATAATAATAATAATAATAATAATAATAATAATAATAATAATCTACCATAATAATAATGTAAATTATGTTGTTTTGGCCAATCAGTCCTTCCAAAAGGACACCCTCATCAGTATTATGGGACAATCCTTTGTATTAGCCAGGAAAGGGACAGGGTCTGCTGCTGAAACAGTCAGACCCCAAATCTGAATACCTTGACACAGCAAAAGCACATTTGGCTCTCCCACAGCAGCGTGGATCCAGCTGCTTCCATCTTGAACTAAGCCCACCCACACATATGGCCAGCCATTCAGCACAGCCTCTGGGGAATGTGTGGAATCGTTTTAAGGACCAGGCCTTGAAGTGGCCTACATCACTTTCGCCCACATCCCACAGACCAGAGCCAGCCATGTGGTCTTCACTTCACTTCCAGCAAGGCAGGGCCATGGGGAGTGGCACACGGGACTGGGTGAATGCCGTAGCTGTGTGGGTGGGGTCTCTGGAACTTCACACACATGGAACACCCCAGGATGTCTTGTTCTTTGCAGGCTATGTGAAGAAATGGCATCAAGTGCTGTGATGGCTATTCCTGGTTGTTCATTTGACGGCATCTGGAATTAACTAAGACCCAAGCGCACACCTGTGAGGGACCTACCATAATTAAATCATTTGAAGTGGGAAGACCCACTTTTAACCTGGACATTTTGAGGTAGGAAAAGCCATCTTTAACCCGGGCCACACCTTCCGGTGCCAGCCTATGTAAAGGGCATGGAAAAAGGAAGCGCTTTGCCCGCCTATTCTCACTGACAAGTTTATTCCTTCACTGGCATTAGAGCCTGCTTCTTTGGGATTTGAGTGTGTACTGAAGACCAGCTGAGACACCCAGCCTCATGGACTGAACAACTACAGGATTCTTGGACTTTAGTTGGGTAGGCAGTCATTGCTGCACTAGCTGGACCATAAGCCACTTTCACATAAATCCCATATATGGGATATATGTGTGACATATATATATATATGTGTGTGTGTGTTCTGTTCCTCTATAGAACCCTGACTGATACACGTGTGCCTCCAATTTACCCTCCCATGCTTTCTCTAGCAGCTGCACACCAAAGTTCCCTGCTATAATATCCAAAGCAGATTGTGTTCGTGATCAAGACACGCCCCAGTGGCTTTGCCCCCAAATTTCTCCAAACCCAAAAATCCATTTGTGGGAAAGCCTCAAGACTTTTAAAAAATGTTGGCTGTTATTCATAAAAGCATATAAAGGCATGTGAGTAGCGACGTAAAATTAGCCGTGTCGAGATCTTTGCCAGCTGTATGCGGCCTGGCTTGGCGACCGTCTTCCCTGCCGTTCTGAAGCGTTGTCTCTCTCCACCCCCTCTCTCCTTCAGGGAAACACATACCAAGTGAGGGCCGGAGGTGGATAGGGATAAGGAGAGGGATAAAGTGAGCCTCTTGTCCACTGGTGTTCTGTCCCAGCTTTTGCAGACTTCAAGGCTTTGACCATTGTTAACCTTGAGGTTCATGTGACCCTGGGGCCTATGGTCTTAAGAGCTTGACGCTGAGCCTGCAGGGTGTATGTTCTTGCATGGAAGGCTGGCATGCAGGAGCAAGAGACAGTTGGAATTTGGTATGCTGTCGTGGCATGGCGTCCTAAAGAAGGATGCTAAAGGATGGGGAATTTTTCTTTGTAACAAGAGGGAATTACCTGTAGCTGGGAGGGCGAAGGGGCTCTGCCTTCCAGCTCACCTTTAGTGGACTGGCTCTGCACCCAGAAGATAGCAAGTGACAGCAAGAAGCCCAAAGCAACCACAGCATCCTCCCTCTCTCTCTCTCTCTCTCTCTCTCTCTCTCTCTCTCTCTCTCTCTCTCTCTCCCCCCCCCCCCTCCTTTCTCTGTCTCAGCTCATGATATTTGCTTTAAGATAGGATTTCACCATGTAGCCCCAGCTGGCCTTAAATTCACAGAAATCCTCCTGCCTCAGTCTCTTGGGTGCTGGGGTGACAGATGACATTCACTATGACTCTTTTTAAAAATAAAATAAAATAAAAATCAACCAACCAAACAAAACAAAACAGACTGCAACTGTGACCACCGGGAGACCCTCGGGTCTCTTTGTTTCAGCGACCTAATGTGAGCATCTTCATTGAGCTTTAAGCCAATACCAAAATCAAGCCTTCTTTTTTTTTTTAATAGCATCCCATGTAGCCTAGGCTGGCATTCAGTTCGCTATGCAGAGGAGGGTGACTTTCCATTTCTAAGCCTCCTGCCTCACCTCCCAAGTTCTGAAAATGGCAGCTGTGTCCCACCACAGTAGGAGGTGCCAGGGATAGAACCCGGGGCTTCACGTACACTAGGCCCTCTGCCAACTGGGCTACATCCCCAGTCCCAAATCAGGCATTTTACCGGTGCCCAACACTCTGTTCACATAGGGAGAAAAGACAAGTACCAACGCAGGAACTGACGTTCCACACACCACGCAAGTTCATTCATTGATTCCACAGATGGTTACTGAGCCCTGCCACAACCAAGAGCTGTGATTACTGTAGTGGGCATTAGAAGCCACGATCACCATCCAAGGAAAGAACGGGCACCCTTCCAGATTCCTTTGTCCTTCTTACCCCTTTGCCCACATGTTTACTTAGAATAACAATAATACATAGCATAACATAAAACTCACCACTTCTAGGGGCAGAAGAGATGGCTCAGTTGTTAAGCACTGTCTGCTCCTGTAGAGGACCTGGATTCAATTCTTACTACCCACTCAGCAACTCACAACCCTCTGTAGCTCCAGTTCCAGGGAACACGACACTCTCTCCTGATCTCTGCAGGTACTAGGCAAGCACCCGATACACATACATACGTGCAAACAAAACACTCATACACATACACAGAATAAAATAGATAAATCTTTTTAAAACAAGCAACCACTGCTTTAAATGCCCAGTTTCCCGGAATTAAGTGCAGCCCCACCACCGCCAGCATCTGTCCCCAGAGCCCCTGTTATCTCTCCGACCGATGCTCTGCACACAGTCAAGTGATCCTTCGGCCTCTGCCTCCTGGGTAGCAAGAACGACAGATGGCATTCCTGCACTTGGCATCCGTCTTGTTTATGTAGTTGTGTTTTTTTTTATGACGTCTCCTATATCAAAGGCCAAATTCATTATGTAGCCTGAAGATAATCTTGAACTTTCGATTCTCCTGCCTCCACCTTCTGAGGGCTCAAGGATCACATGTGTGCCGCAATGCCCAGTTGTATGGGGTGCTATGTCTGGAACCCAGGGCTTCATCATGTTAGACAAGTCCTCTACCAACTGAGCTACAGCCCCAGCCCGATCCCTGCCTTTCTCATACTGCCCGTAGGATGATCCTGCATGCCTTTTTTGAAGCTCGAAAGTTTTTTCAAGTGAGGCAAGCATGCGACTGTCAAAATACTAACACCATAGAAAGGCATGAGAATTGTCAACGGTGCTTCTGTAGCTGCCTCTGTGTTTTGAGCCCCATGGGTGGCAGTTGATTCCCTCTGGTGGAACGTTTCATTGCTTTGCCTGGCCAGTGTCCAGGGTTCATTTCTAACGGAGCAGACTGCTCCCCAGACTGTCTGCTGTGTGATTGAAGGCAGCCTGGGCACCAGTCACCATGCCGCATTGGTGCAGGCCTAGCTGCAGGTTGCTAGGCCTGGCGGGGTGGGGCAAGGGACTGCTCTTCAGGCCTTGCACTTTAAGCCACTGCGACTGTCGGGTGCTTCCCGTGTCCATGCATGGGCATGAAGTGTGGAGGGGTGCCTTGGGCTGATTTTTGCCAGGGTTACCTCATCGCTCTATCAGGCTAGCCCTTAGCTCTCTAGATCCCCATGACTCAGGCCCATAGTCCTTATAAGGCCATGGGCACCTTTGCCTTTGACTAGTTCTGCTCTTCTGTCTTGGCTGTGGTTGGACACACATATAAGAAATAACAGATGGATTCATTCTGTTTCTTTTTACATTGATTTACTTGTGTGTGTTGGGAATGTACTTGACCTCCTGGTCATTTTACCTCCTTCACTTCCCAAGTGCTGGGGTTATAAGCATGCCCTGTGCCTGGGGAAATGTGTTCATTATAGAGAAGGCAGCTGGAGCCCTGGGATGCTAGGCTGTTGCGGTTCCGGGATGCCGGCACTCTGGATGGGATGTGGGATGCTGGGATCCTGAGATTAGCCAGATGTACCCTCCCATCCTCGCTTTCATTCCTTCTCTTCCTCCTTCACTTACATCACCACCAGTGTCCTCTGAGCATACACCGCTCTGTGAGAACTAAAGTCATGACCCTGGGGTGGGGTAGGGAGGGGCGTGACCTTCCCAGGCCATCTATAGATGCTTCCCTGTGAAATAGGGTCTAGCCCGGACAGGTCAGTGCATGGATAAACCCAGCTCATCAGAAACAGGTAACTTCTTTTCTCCATCCTGATTGACCAATGGCTTGTAAGAGTTCCAAGACCCAGCCCTTGTCTCTACTCTCTAAGGATTCAGGGACCGCTCACTGTCCGATTGGGCCACTAAGTGGAGTCAGCCTTCTGTCCTCCACAAGTGGACTCAAGACTTTCCCACTTATGGGAAATGCTTCTTGTGGTCAGTCCTTCCTCTCTGCCTGTGGAGCTCCCTTCCTTCTGGGAAAGGCTGTGCGTCCAGGCACGGAACAGCTGAGGCTGTCTCTGCCGTGCTCTGGGTCCCAGAGAGAGGGGAGGGGAATCTTGGCACCTGATGCAGTGTCTGGCAAGGCTCAGGCCCTTATCACGGCTTCGTTCTCAGTCTCCTGACGACTGGGACCCCTCCAAAAGGATGGAGGCAGGGCTGGCTGGACAGCAATCCATCGGGGTCTCAGTGGAAGAGCCTGGCTGGAAGCCATCCATGTGGGGAACCAGTTCTCTAGTGAGGAGGTCTGCCAAGTCATGGGAGAGGCCGGAGCAGAAAGACCCCTGAGGAGAGTGAGGGAGCTGGTGCCCTGCTTGGCAATGCTTGTCCACCCAGCTGCCTCCCTCCCTTTCTGACCCAGCGGTTGCCACGAGGGCTTTCCCACCTTCCCCTCACGAGCACACAGCTGTTAGAGGCTTGAGATAAAGGCTCCCAGGAGATGAGAATTCAAGAATGAACGGTGACATTTTGCCCTTGGTCCGCCTACCCCACATCCTAGCACACGCCCACCGCAGATGTCCAGTCTGTTCTCTCCCACATGCTTCACTCACGCGTGGAACTGGCGAGCATTCTCCTTTTCCCCTGGAACTGCCTATCAACACAGAATGCCTCAGCATCTTACACTGGGCTAAGCATTGTTGGAAGGGCATCCATCTCTTCACTCATGTCCCCCACTTAGCTACTTCCACTGGGGTGACACTGGGCTGCTGACTACCCCTCAGAAAAAATAATTTCAGGACAAGTCTATGTGGGACAGAACTAAGTTTATTACGGAGAGGCGAGAAACCACGTGAGTGCACACAGGAAATCTAAACATGGACAGTCAGGCTCAGTGTTGTTCCAGCAACTAGTGTGACTTCATGGCTTTATGCTATGCTATAGTGTCCAAGAGATGTGGTTTTCTTTTCTTCTTTTCCTTCCTTTTTCTTTTTTTCCCTCCACATTCTTCCTCCTCCGCTTCCTTCTTGTGGCTTTTCGAGACAGGGCTTCTCTGTGTAGCCTTGGCTATCCTGGAGCTAGTTCTGTAATCAGTCTGGCCTTGAACTCAGAGAGCCACTTGCCTCTGCCTCCCAAGTTCTGGATTTAAAGGCCTGTGTCACCATGCCTGGAGGTTTTATTTATTTCGTTTGTTTGTTCGTTTTTTATTTTAAGGAATTTTCTTTTGTAGAATGAAGTGGAATCGTAAGGTGTTCCTGCGGTGCACTGCTCGGGTCTGTGGTGGGCAGGAGTGCGGATAAGGTCGCAGAAGCCTTCAGCCTGTGTTTCTAAACAAACGTGACACGTTTGTTGTTTAAAACTTCTCATTTGAGATATCTTAGGAAAACGAGTCCTGAACGTGTCGCAATTTTTACTGATTTTGTCAGTTGTGTGAAGAATGAGAAACCTAAACTTGATTCCTGTGGGGGAGGGGCTTCTTCCACTTTCTATACCACCTAGGCTTTCCCAGGTGGCGAGAAGCGGGAAGGGTTGGGGCTGCATGGTGCCCACAGAAACTGGGAGTGAGATGTGGCTCCCATCCTCAAGGCCTTAGAGGACTTGTGTTCTGCTCTGGAGGGTTTTCAGCAGCTAGAGACACCGGAACACTGGGCTGCGTGTCTTAGACACTCCCCACTTCTCAGTTGTGCCCACCCAGATGTGTTCAGGTGCTCATAGGCGCCCCCTTGTGTTAGAGGAGGGTTGACAAAGCCTTTTTTTTTTTTTTTTTTTTTTTTTTTTTTTTTTTTGCTCATGGTCGGTTGAAATGCAGCAAGGGTCACCCTCTCTCTGGAGGTGACAGAGGAGCCTCCCAGGGTGTTATTTAAGGGGAAAAGGACATTTCAGAAGGAGACACAAAGACCAGGGAAGGTATGAGGCAGGAGGATGATACTCTTGAGAATTGTGTGGCTGATTGGCATGAGTGGTGAATGAGGATGGGTCCCAGTTGATACCCACTGCCACCTCCCAGACAAGAAGTCTGGGTGCTGCTCCTTCAGGTGACCCCAATATAGCTAGGGTCCAGCATACAATGGCCCTTACCAAATGGACGTTGCTATGGAGGAGCTCGGCACTCTGTCCTCTCTTACTGTCTCTGTTTGCGCCCAGCAGGCAAAGAGCTGTCCATGTGGGTAAAGGGTACTGTCCCGTCATCAGCTGTGCCCAGGCTGAGCTGGGCTGAGCGTGGGATCCTGGCATCTTTCACCACTGTCCATTACACGCTGGAGGGGTGGCTTATAAGGGCGCTTTGCCAAGGGGATTTGAGAGATGAGCGCTATGGAATAGGAGATGCTGGAGGAAGCAACCCAGACTTAAGCCACATAAGGGACACAGGACCCCGATGTGCTTATCCGCCCCAGGAGGGAGGGAGCATAAAATTTTATCCATGTTATACCACCCTGCAGGGCAAGCTCTGCCTTAGCCTTTGCTGAGTGAGTCCCTATCTGGGCCCCCTCCATCCCCTTCGGGACCCTGTGAACTTCTGGCTTTGGGGTCCTCTCACCTAGCCCCCCAAACCTGCATCCTTCCCACTCCTGGCCAGCTACCTGGCCCTTGGGCTTCCAGTGCTACACAGGGGTGGGTGAAGGACTGCCACTCTCTTCACTTGTGCTCAGTTGTGCCTCCCTTCTTCCTGGCAGCGCCGGGAAGCTCCCCGGAACGCTGCACTGCCGTGAGGGTGGAGAAGTTGGGCCAGCAACTCCAAAATAGAAAAAGCCCCTGGAAACAGGGGAGAGATGGGGCTAGAAGCTTGCCCTCAGAGAACCCCAATCCCCAAACCTGACTGTTTCTGCTTGAGCCTGGGATCGAACCTGAGACTCTAGCATGCTAAGCGCTTTGTCCCTGGGCCTCATTCCTTCTCTTTTTACTTTTTGTTTTTGAGATGCAGTCTTACTAAGTTGCCAGGACCGGCCTTGAACTTGCAATCCTCTCGCCTCCACCAGTTGAGTAGCTAGGATTGCAGATGTATGGCCATCAGGTTCCGTCAACCCGCAAATCTTGCCAAAGGTACTAGACTCCCGAGTGAGAAGATAGCGGTGTCGTGCCCCTGGTTCATCTCCTTTATAATGAGCACTTACTGTAAGTGCTCTGCCACTGAGCCACAAGCCTCAGCTCCTTTGAGCCTCTTTGTGCAACCCAGAGACTCTTGAAAACACAAGACCTACAAGCTAGCCCAGCCCAGCATACCGTGGTTTTTTGTAACTAAAGGTAACCTGGAACTTTTGATCCTCCTGCCTCCAGCTCCTGGATGCTGAGATTACAGGTATGCGTCACCACCTTCTGGTTTTATGCATTGTTGGGAATCGAAAACCCAGGCCTTTGTGTTACGTAAGCACTGGACCAACTGAGCCACAGCCGTGTGTTGTGCTTTCGTGTGGCAGGTAGCTCAGCAGGTGACTTTACACGAGTATCACAGCACGTGGCATTGGTAGCTGTGATGTCATTAACTGGTCAGGATTCTGAAGCTCCGTGGCTCCATTATAACTGTGGGGACCAGTGGCTTAAATTCTCCTTTATCTAAATATCCCATGTGATGCTTGACTGTGCAGGCCTTTAGCCTCTGTGGTCAGCAGAGAAACTCAGGGAAACGGGGTAGATAAAAGGGTTTGCCATTCATCCGTTCATTCACTCATAATACTCATTATGTAGGTGGCTGGCCCAGCAGAACTCTGTAGCTCAAACTAGCATTGAATTAAAAAAAAATATTCCTTCCTCGGTTTCCTAGATTTTCAAGTCTGTACTATCACATCCTGGCTCCTTGTTAACGTTTTGGGTGTCTTACTGCTGTCTTGTTTTTGAGGGAAAATAAGCACATTTATTGGATAGAGTATCAGCTGCAGGAAAGTGTGCTTTTTGTTTACCGTGGGCTTTTTCTTTTTAAAGATTATTTTATGTGTGAGCGTTCTACCTGGTTGTATGTCTGTTCACCATATGCATACAGTAGCCATAGAGGCAAAGAGGACATCAGATCCCTTGGAACTGGAGTTGCAGATGGCTGTGAACTGCCATATGGGTGCTGGGAACTGAACCTGTGTCCTCTGCAAGAGCATGGAGTGTTCTCAATCACTGAACCATCTCTCCGGTCCCTGTTTTTGGTGTGTGTTTGTTTGGGGGTAGGAACAAAAGGCTGGTTTCAAATGCACTGTGCAGCTGAAGCAGGCCTTGAACTCTTGATCTCCTTGCCTTCCCTCCAGAGTGCTGGCCTCTGACCTTTAAATGTAACCTATTAAATAAATCCCTACCAGGTGTGGTGGCATACACCTGTAATCCCAGCTCTTAGAAGGTTGGGGCAGGTGGATAAAGAGGTGCAAACCTCTTATAGAGGGCCTTGTTATAAATATAGCCCTGAGTACCTGTCTCTCTGCAGGATGAGGGTATCCCCACCTGAAGAGGACAAGTTGGGTGCCAAGCCATGCCCCTGAGCTGAGGGCCAGCTGCCAGCCTGAGGAGCCTCATGGCACCGCCTGTACCCATGGAGAAAGGACTCACTTTGCCCCAGGACTTTGTGCACAGTCTGAAGATCCGGGGCAAATATGCCTTGTTCCTGGCATTTGTGCTCATAGTTTTTGTCTTCATTGAAAAGGAAAACAAAATCATATCCAGGTAAGAAATTCAACCACGGGTCTCCTTTATCAAGGTGAGGGGTCTGAAGACAGAGGTGACACTGGGATTTTCAGGGGACCTTCTACCAGCCCCTCCTGCATCTTAGGCTGAGATCAGGTGTTCGGCAGCAAGACCTGGGCAGCCTAGGCTGGCACCACCCCACCTATGGTCCCTTCCCAGCTGCAAGGGCTTAGGTGAAACACTTCACTTGGGCAAGGTGGTTCTCTTTAGTCTGCGACTAGGGATGCCACCTTGTGGAGACAGTCATGCAAAAATGTAATCACATTTTGCCCATGGCCTGCCACATAGTTGATGTTTGGTCTTTGCTATTACGGCCTACTTGTTTATTCTAGCACCGAGGCTCCCTTTAGCAGCCTATCCCCTCCTCAAGTCTTGATGTCATGAGTAAAGCTGAGCTCACGGGAAGCAGGATTCTGCTAGGGCCACTCTGGTGGATAGGACCAACTTGGGCAACAGCCCAAATTGTGTATCACTCAACCTCAGGGGAGTGACCCTACATTGTCCTTGAGCTGGCAGTCTATTTCTGTGTGAGGCAAACCTGCTAAACACAAAACCATTTCTTAGTCCTGAATCTCCCAGATTCAAAGCCCTGCAGAACAGCCTCAGCGAAGGAGGGTAGGGTAAGGAAGGACTGGAGATGAATCAGCTCATGCCTGCTTGCTGCATGTCTTAACTCTCCTGAAGCGGCTACTGACTTGCACCAGACAAGCGAGAAGCGTCAGAGGGCCAAGTGCCCGAGTTCTTTAGTGAAAGTGGGCCCATATGTAGCCATCATGAACTGCTTCGCTTTCCCACTGAGTCACCCCTGGGTTTATGCCAAAGCAACCACACTCAATCCTTAGCCTCTAGGCATGCTCTGGAGAGACCCAGCTAAAACTGTTTAGGCTAGTACAGGGGCTGGCCTCCCAAATCAGCCACAGACCTTGTCCCTTTACTCCCACTCAGGGTCTCTGACAAGCTGAAGCAGATCCCTCAATTTGTGGCGACGGATGCCAACAGCACCGACCCAGCCCTGCTTTTATCGGAAAACGCATCTCTCTTGTCCCTGAGCGAGTTGGATTCTGACTTCTCCCAGCTGCAGAGCCGCCTGCACAATCTCAGCCTGCAGCTGGGCGTGGAGCCAGCGATGGAGGCCCAGGGGCAGGAGACTGCCGCAGAGAAGCCATCCCACCAGGCTGCAGCAGGGCACCGGCGCCACGTACTCCTCATGGCCACCACCCGCACCGGCTCTTCATTTGTGGGCGAGTTCTTCAACCAGCAGGGCAATATCTTCTACCTCTTCGAGCCACTGTGGCACATCGAACGCACCGTGTCCTTCCAACCGGGAGGTGCCAGCGCTGCAGGCTCAGCGCTCGTCTACCGCGATGTCCTCAAGCAGCTGTTGCTGTGCGACCTGTACGTGCTGGAGCCCTTCATCAGTCCACCTCCTGAGGACCACTTGACTCAGTTCCTCTTCCGCCGGGGATCCAGCCGCTCGCTCTGCGAGGATCCAGTGTGCACACCCTTTGTCAAGAAGGTCTTTGAGAAATACCACTGCAGGAACCGTCGCTGCGGGCCACTCAATGTGACCTTGGCGGCAGAGGCTTGCCGCAGTAAGGACCACATGGCCCTCAAGGCTGTGCGCATCCGTCAGCTGGAGTTCCTACAGCCACTGGCAGAGGATCCGAGGCTGGACCTTCGAGTCATCCAGCTGGTGCGCGACCCCCGGGCCGTGCTGGCCTCACGCATGGTGGCTTTCGCGGGCAAGTATGAGAGCTGGAAGAAGTGGTTGACAGAGGGGCAGGACCGGCTAAGCGAGGATGAAGTGCAGCGGTTGCGGGGCAACTGTGAGAGCATCCGCCTATCTGCCGAGCTGGGCTTGCGGCAGCCAGCCTGGCTGCGTGGGCGCTACATGCTAGTGCGCTATGAGGACGTGGCACGCAGGCCACTGCAAAAGGCCAGAGAGATGTATGGCTTCGCAGGCATCCCCTTGACCCCACAGGTGGAGGACTGGATCCAAAAGAACACCCAAGCGGCCCGTGACAGCAGCGACGTCTACTCGACTCAGAAGAACTCCTCCGAGCAGTTTGAGAAGTGGCGTTTTAGCATGCCCTTCAAGCTGGCACAGGTGGTGCAGGCTGCCTGCGGTCCGGCCATGCACCTCTTTGGCTACAAGTTGGCCAGAGATGCCGCCTCGCTCACCAACCGCTCCATCAGCCTGCTGGAGGAGCGGGGCACCTTCTGGGTCACGTAGTGAGGGATGCCCGGGACCCTGGGAATCCCTTCTCATGAAATGCTGGCCCTGCTTCCCTCACACCCAGCCTGGCAGTGAAACACAGCCCTGGCAGAGAGTCAGAATGGGGAGCGGTGATGGGGGTATAGGCCCTGGCTGTAGCTGCAGGCCTCTGGCCAGCTAGTTTCCCCAGTTCAGCCGCAGCCAGGACTTCGGGGCTCCTCTGAGGACAGCAGTGCCCTGTGTCCTAGGTGGTACTGGTCATTCCCACACACTTTATGACCTGCAGTGTCCTAAGCAGACCCAGGCTGGTTCCTGTGTATGGACACACCTCCCCAGCTCTGCCTCACACTGTCACAAAAACATGCTGCACACAAAGGCCTGTAGGCTGTGTGGGCCAGAGTCCAAATATTTAACAACCAGAAGGGCGTAGGCCTGCTCCACTCACTCAGATCTCCTACTATATTGAATGTTAACCTTTTCCGCTCTGAGACAGAAAAGCCTAGGATCTGCTGAGTCCTTAGAAGAAGGAGGGCAGCCTAGGGTGAGGAAGGGGGACATTTGAAGCTCCTGAGGGGACAATGGCTGTTTACCAACTGATACAAAGGGGTTTGATTAGTTGTTCTGGCTACTCGTGAATATCAGCCAAAGTGCATGTAGAGAGAGCAAGGCTGGGAGTGTGGCTCAGTGGTAAAGTTCTTGCCTCTCATGCACAAGGCCCTGGGTTTGATCCCCAGCACTACAAATATAAGGAAAAATCAAACATACGTGTACTTTCAGCACAGAGACAAGAAAGCATCATAAACTCTTTCTCTCTCTCACACACGCACACACAATCATATACACATACACACACTGATATAGAAAAGCATCCCCATTCTTTTTGCTCGCAGTATTTGGTTTGTTTTTTGTTTTCGTTTTTCCTGTATCACATGTTTAAACAGGAGCCTTAAGTTACATTTTTAGGGTTATGTGAAGAGGGGCCATATGCAGGGGCAGTGACACTTTTTGCCCTGACCAGAGCTGGGAGGGGAATGCTGGTCTCTGAATCACCGCTAAGCATCTGGGGTTGCCATGGCTACCTCCTCTGACCCAGCCACACGCCACAGCTGGAAGGCAGAATATTTTAGAGATGGCATGACCAACCTTCACATGACTGCCGTCCAAAGGCTCCATCCTGATCATTCCTCGGGAGCACGCCCATTTTTGAAGACTGCCTGAGGCCTAACTTCAGGCCCAGTTTTGGTCCCTGAAAGCAAAAGACAGCTCATAGGCCTACTATTTCCAGTCAGCGCCTTCTAGAGCCAGCCAAAGTTCAGAGTGTTCTGTAGGAAGAAGCCACACCAGGACTCAGCTTCCCTGATTCCCTGAGCAGCCGCCTGCTAGTTCCTTCCTAGCTGACAGAGGTCCGCCCTCGGGTTGCCATGGTTACAGCTAGTGTCTAAAAGGAATGCCTACTTTAGGGTTCTGGGAAAGAGGAATGCTCAACTCAAGATGAGTAGGTATTTTATTTGGGCTTTTTAAGTTATTTATGGCTTGGTGCTGTTTTTGTTTTAAGGCTGTTTGGGGTTTTGTTTCTGTAGGAGCATTCCCCCGTGCTAATCTGCAAATCTAGGCTGATCCTGGCAGGGAACGCTTGGTTCCTGGTAAAGAGTAGACCAGAAGGAGGTGACTCTGCTAGGAGTCACTCAGCGCCTCCTAGGGACCTACATGCATGTCTGTGTGAACTCCATGTAGAATGACTCTCGGAAGCTGCCATTGGGCCCTAGGTCGGTAGCCCAGCTTCTATAGTGTTTATCTATTGTGTACGTCACCCTGGTTTCAGTTCCATGCACCACACCAGCTAGGTATGTTGGCACATGCCTGTAATCCCAGCACTCAGGAAGTAGAGGTTGGCAGCCAAAAGTTCAAGGTGCAACTCTATCTATCAATTTTGAGGTCAGACTCTGCAAGGAAAAAAAATTAAGATCCCAGCCTAGCATCTCTGAGCGTCCAGAGCAGTCTGTACTCCTGCTCCAGAACAGGTTTTTTTGAAAATCCCCAACATGTGGCTGAGGGAAGGAGATGGCGGGAGGCGGGTTCAGAGGCCTTTGACTGAGCAGCTAGGTTCCCCAAGGCAGAAGCTCTTCCCTCCCTGTGCAAGCTGAGGCACAGAACCCAGGCTAGCCTCGGAACTTCCGCAGTGGGGGGTTGGTTACCACACTGCTATTTCTGGACAGCTGCTACAGCTGGCACCGTCCAAGCTAAGCTGGACTGAGCCGGTGTGAGTGATACAGACACCGAACACGTAGTCACGTGGAAGCAGGCATGGCTAGCACTGACGAGGGGAAGGGACGATGGCAGCACACAGCACACTCCCCATATTGTAGGGTTTGTGACCTGCCTGCTCAGCTGCTGGGTCCCAAACCAGAACTCAGAGTCAGTCCAGCCAGTCTCTACTATAGGTTTTGATCATCTGAGAGCGAGTGTGTAGAAGACAGGTGCCTGCCTGAGGTCACAGGGACATTGGCTCTTGGTACTCGATGGGGACATGATGTTGTGGGCATGCTCAGGGGTGTAGATACCCTCTCTCCATGCCCCCATGCAGAGCACATTCCCTTCTCAGCACATGGGGGGGTGGGAGGGGCCGAGGTGAGAGTTTCCTTCCCACTCCCTGCCCCAAGGGCCAAGGCATCTGTGTCTCAGCTCCCTGAGGACAGATACCCACAGTGGACCTTTGGGACTTCTCAGGACGTGGACAATGCTGTGGGCACAGCAAGTTGACTTTATTTATTTTGTGGAAAGAAGAGACGGTATTATTTTCAGGGACTGAGAACTGTACGCTAATCAAGAAGTACAAGTAATAATAATAACATTGATAATAGAAACAGTTCGCATGCCACACACACATTAGGACACCTGAGGACCACGCAGAAGGTGAGACAGGACCAGCTCATGGAAGCCCAGGATGATAAAGAGGTTCTGTGGGTCTCTTATTGTTCAGAAGTTCAATAGGAGGGCCCTCTGCTGTATTGCTTTGCTCAGCTGTGTGCAGCAACAGAACAACTCAGGCAGGTGGGTGAGTGGGTGGACATAGCCTTGAAACATCCCCTGAGGCTCAGCCATCCAGGAAAAATTCCCAGGTTTGGAGAGGGACAGTGTGGGGAAAATAACTGGACATCTCTTTGGGTGCTGTGCTAGGATTATGCTTAGGGACTCTTAGCATAGGGCTAGGTGGAGAAATGGCCTTGTTGGTGGGATGAGACAACTGCTGATCTAACCCCAAAGATCAAAGGGCACCCAGGTGGTCTATCGCAGTGATTCTTATCATTACTGGTGTCTGGCCTATGGTGGAAGATGCACCCATTGTCTCTCTAGCCAGAAGGGAGGGTAGGAGGGGTTAGGAGTAGCAGATGGTTTGATCCCATACCCCCAAATCCCTCAGTCCTCTTCCACACTAGAGCCCGCTTCAGTCAACCAGGGGGTTGGTCCTTGAGCAGTGCTGGACTCTGGAGGGCAGGCGCATCCTCAAGGCAGTCCCACCACAAAAGTAGAGGGATGGTTCTAAGATGGGGGGCGGGGGGAGAAAGGGGTAGGGACCAGACTTCCAAGAAGCCACATGGGTCCTCCCAACTTGTGCACGTGGGAAGAAGGGAACTTCACTAAAATCAGGGCCTGGAGCTGGTGTATTGCTTATGAAGATCCTGGCTCAGCGAGATGCAAGGAGGCAGTGAGTTCCCGGAGCATAGCTACATTCCCTCCCAAGTCCAAACACTCTCTGAAACAGTGGAACCATGCCTTACAACTCAAGAGTACAGGCAGAGCCTGTAACTTCCAGTGTCTTAATGCCGGGAGGTGGTGCACGCCTTTAATCCCAGCACTCGGGAGGCAGAGGCAGGCGGATCTCTGTGAGTTCGAGACCAGCGCTGGTCTACAAGAGCTAGTTCCAAGACAGGTTCCAAAGCTACAGAGAAACCCTGTCTCGAAAAACAAAACAAAAGAAAAAGTCAAGATCCTTTGACCTGTGTCCTTGTCACTGCATAGGTACAGACTCCTTACATATTCCTGAAGATAGAGATACGGTGTTCCTTTACTGTGGCCTCACTGTGGGTCAGCTTCTGACCAGGCAAACAGAGCATCCATGTCACCTGCCTCCACTATATTTGGGCTTGAACTTTGCCTCCCGTGTGGTCTCCACCTCCCCTAGATATTCTAGTCCCTGGTTCTCACCACCACCCTCCACTTCTGGTGGGTCCTACGAATGTTTCTTTTGTGCTGGTACCCGGGCCCAGTGCCCTGCCTCGTGGCTACATGGTACGGGACACCTTCCCAGTCTGAACGATCATGGCATGTGCATGTGTGCTCAGGAGTACATGTGTGTGTGTAGGGGGATACATTCTATTCTGCCTCTAGTGCAGCCGCACACAACTCCAGCCTCTCTCTGTCACCGACCCGCATGTTCTTATGGTGGCTGCAGATAATCTTCCAAAACCCGGTTCTGTCGCTCTCGTCTGACAGCTGATAACTGTTCAGAGTCGGCTTCATGGACTAGAATGTGAAACCTTTCTCCTGGTGGCTTGCCTGCCTGACTTATTTAATTAAAAATGAACAAGCAGTAAATTCTGTCACGATCCTTTGTTTTCGTCCTCAGCAGTAATTGAGCCATAAAAACGAAGAGAAGAAACGCCATTCGAGGCGGTGAGAAACATGTGACTTACACTGTGACCCTTTCCCAACCACTCCCAAGCGCCAGAAGCCCACGAGGAGCGTGGATGAACATAGGTGTCAGGGCCTGAAGAATGTTATTTATGATCCCAGGATGGCGGGTCTGGAGAGCCTGCTCGGATGGAATCATGATGTCTGAGACACTCAGATATTACAGGGCAGGGACAGGGGCATTGACCCACTATGAGAGGACCTGGTGACAAGGTCCGGCTTTGTCACAGTCTGGTCTTGGACAAGCCACTTACCTTATCTGGGTTCACTTTCACTTAGGGGTGAAATGTGTAACCGCCCACAAACATTGTCACCCAAAGCCGTGTTAGGGATTTGAAAGTCAGTTAAAGGGTGGCTCTTTTTGCATGCCAAGATACTGCTTGAGGCTTCATTCTGCCTGCACTAAAACCGCAACAGCCCCGTGAGAAGATGGCTAAGAACCCTTTCCGCTGAGCAGTGTCGTGGAGTCCCTTCAAGATGCAGCTGTGCTCCTCTGCCATCGTGGCCTTGGTGTGAACTAGATTCCAGCCCTGCCTCAGTCAGTTTCCTGTTACTAGCACACACACACCTAAGGCCGTTGGCTTATAAAGCAAAAAGGTTTGTTTGGGTTCAGGGTTGGGGACATTTTAGTCCATGGGCCAAACCATTGTGTCATGGCCAGAACATGAAAATAAAAGAAGAGGAAGGGGCGGGGACCCACTGTCCCCTTCAAGTTCGTTCTCAGAGACCTGAGGACCTCCCACGGGGCCCCACCACTTCTTCCCACCCCCACATGCCAAGTAATGACTGTAACTCCGGGCATCTGAGAGCATTCTGGATGCAAAGGATAGGAAGCCCTCTTGTCACCTAAGATGCTTCAGGATGAAACAGATGTTGCCCCAGGGAGAAGGGAAGGTTCATGTTGGGACACAGGGAGACCATCTTGGGGTGGGGGCTGGGGTCTAGGAGCTAGGAGGCAGCTGTGCAGAGGTGAAAGAGCAGAACCCTGAGGGCAGAGGCTCCAGAAGTGGAGATATCACAGCAGTGAGGCACAGCACGGATGGATGGGAACTCCCTGCCTCCTAAAACTCAATCTCCAGTCACACTATTTTCCCCTGGTCCCAGTCTTAGCAAATTAAAGCATTTCCATCCTAGCCTTCAATGTTCCAGCCTGCGAGATCACACCCAAAACGAATGATCCCTTTTCAATACGGCCGGCACTGGCCCATCTGCTCTGGGCTGGGCTTCCTGCCACAAATGACCCAACAGAAATAAATTGGTTTAATCACAGAGTAAAGAGGTCTGGACACCCACCCACCACCTTGAGCCACCAGCATAGCAGGAAGCCTCTTTCTGCCTCCTACCTCACCCTCTCCTTTCTCTCACCCCATTCAGGGCTCCTGATTCTTCTTGCCCTACGTCCCAAGCCATCAACACAGGACTTGGGTACCATGAGGTCCTGAGATGGTTACCTACAAAAACCAAAGAAGCCTCTGGATCATCTGGGACCTGTCTAGCCTGGGGCCTGCAGCAGCGTGTCCCCAAGTACATTTAGGGTTGTGTCCCCGCTGCTTTTTTTTTTTTAAGATTTATTTATTTTATGTATGAGTGCTCTATTGACTTTAGGTCAGAGGAGGGCATCATATCCCACTATAGATGGCTGTCAGCCACCATGTGGTTGCTGGGAATTGAACTCAGGACCTTTAGAAGAGCAGCCAATGCTTTTAACTGCTGAGCCATCTCTCTAGCACACCCCCAGCTGCTCTTGAGAAATTACTGAGTGTGTTAGTTTATCTAAGGTGCTGAGAAAGACCTAGTTCCTTTGATCAACATTAAGGATTTCTCCACACAATCGTGCCTGCTCACACCACCTTTGGACTTTCTGAAGTAGCATCTCACATAACCCAGGCTGGCGCTGCCTTTGTTGTACGATGGAGGACGACCTTGAACTTCTGAACCTTCTGTCTCTACCAATGAGTGCCAGGATTACAGGCATGTACCACCATGCCTAGCGTATGTGATGCGGGGATTAAACCCAGAACTGGGCAAGCACTCTGTAAGATGACCTACAGCCCCTATAAAGGAGAGAGAGAGAAAGAAAGGGAGGGAGGGAGGGAGAGAGAGAGAGGGAGGGAGGGAGGGAGGGAGAGAGAGAGAGAGAGAGAGAGAGAGAGAGAGAGAGAGAGAGAGAGAGAGATTCACTATGTATTCCTGGATGGCTTGAAATTCACTATGTAGACCAAGCTGGCTTTGAACTCACAGAGATCTGTTTGCTTCTGCCTCTCCAGTGTTGGAATTAAAGGTGTTCATCACCATGCCTGGTCCCTTTTTCTAGCCATTAAGGGTGAAATACTCTTTTGACTTTTTCCCCCCAGTGTTTAAGAGTACTTGCTGCTCTTACAGAGGACCTGGGTTTGGTCCTCCCTCCCTGCCGGTACCCACATCAGGAAGCTCCCAACTTCCTGTAACTCTAGTTCCAGGGGATACAAAGCTCTCTTCTGGACCCTGAAGGCATTTTCACGCCTGTGATTTATGTACAATAAGCAGGCGTGGAAAGACACATAAATAAATTTTAAAACTACTTTAAGGCCCTGGCATTCTCTAGAACAGTTTCTAGGCACCCCACAGAGAAGCATTAGGACTCAGGGGCACAGAGATGGTGGTGGGGAAGTGGCTGGGGATAAAAACCCCAGGGTCATGTTCAAGGGCCCCACCCATCCTTGTGCCTCATCAAAACCTCAAACAGGGAATGGGGGTGTAGCTGTGAGATGGGAGCTGCCGTGAAACACTGTGTTCATGACACCAACACCTCTGTCACATAAAATCTCCTGGCACCCAAACCCCTGGTCCTTGGCTTGTCAATTCCTATGTGTGGGGACCAGTCCGGAGCATGGGGACTCAGAAGGAGGATCATTGCAAGTCTGAGGCTACCTTTGGCTCCTTAGTGCATTCCAAGGCAGTGTGGGCTCTAGAGTGAGACCTGTTTCAAAAGTCATTTGACTTTTTAACTCCAGGGCCTGGCTGTCCAGGTTCAAAGCCATCCTCCCAAGGTTTCAGCAGAAATACAAAACAGAGGCAATATTGACTGAGCCCAATAGTCTGATGGGGTGAGAGGAAGCGGCAAAGATGCCCTAATAGAGGTCTTTGCCCCATGCTGCCCAATGACATCCCTTACCGTTTCTCTCACTATTCTGGCCAATTACCGTTATGGTTACTAACATAATAAATGCAGTTGGGGTGGGCTTTGCCTTACTCTTCTGCCCACCCAGCCTCAAAGAAAGTTGACTGAGGAAGGTCAGAGAATGGGAGCAGCCTCCAGTTGCTTCCTGTCTCCTTCCTGCCTCCGAAACGGGGTCAGATCCTGTCTCCACCTCCCAAGTAATGGGATTAAAGGTGTGTGCCACCGCTGCTGGGCTTCTATAGTTAACTGGCGGCTAGCTCTGCCTTCTGATCTCCAGGCGAGCTTTGTTTGTCAGAATACAAGCTATCACACAAAAGTTGGCCCCACCAGCTCTCCTCTACAAGATTGGCACCCACCTCTGGTTTCCTAAGAGGTTTGGCCCACATCCACCAGCACCTTGGTATCCCAGCTTCTTCTCACTTTCCCATAGAGAAGGCTTCGAAGAACAGCCCAGTAAACATTGCATGACCCCCACATGAGACTCAGAAGCCAATGCAAATGTATAACTTCACATTTGATTTGGGAGGAGAGACACTGTAGCAGGCATGAGATGAGAACAGAAAGGGACTCGGGATAGTTGAGCAGAGCCCGTCACTCAGGGCGGCGGCCCCTTTTATGGAAGACATCTGGCTCCAATGTGGGGCTGATTTTAATAAATCCAAGACATCTCCCTCAGCTCAACAGTCTGAGAAGGAGCCAAGGGGAAGCCTGTGGGGCTGTCACCAGGAACACTGGGAGGCAGAGTTGGATGTGAAAGAGGAGAATGATTCATAACCAAGGGGAGCACCAGCACCCATGTGGTGACACCTGACATGTGTTCAGAAATAGAGAAGAGGGCTGGGACATAGCTCGGTTGATAGAGTGTTTGCCTAGCATGCTTGAAATCCTGGGTCCGGTACCCATCACTGCACAAAGCAGGTGTGGTGGCATTCACCTCTGACCCCAGCATTTAGGAGGCAGAGGCATGAGGATCTTGGATACATCAGGAGTTCAAGGACATCCTGGGCTACATCCCATCTCAAAGAAATATGAAAAGAAAAAGAAAAACAGAAGTGGAGATGGGTAGACTGGGCTAGACACCAGGGATGCCAGGAGTCACCTCTGGTTATAGCATAGGTACACACACACACACACACACACACACACACACACACACGCGCGCGCATGCTGGAAAAGCAGTAGAATCAGAGAGTAGCAGCCGGCTTCACCATCCCTCTGGTTTGACACTGCAGTCATCCGCTTGGGAACATCTGGGTGAGTATAACATTCTAGTGACCTGAGACAGAGCGGAGTAGCTGGCAGGAGCCCCGGGAAGGGCAGAGGGAAAGCGCCGGACTGAGAACACTGAAGAGAAGTCAACCAAAATGACGCCGTGATTCCTAGAAGTTCCCACGCCATCCATGTCCACCACTGGTCTATTGCTCCAGACAAGAGATTAATTCCTCCTGAATCATCACCAGGAAGGCGCCAAAATCCAAGAAGAGGGTTGGCAGGGCGTGAACATGGTGTGAATGGAGCTGAGATGCCGCTGAGGGCAAAAGCTGGGCTTTGTCAAGGTTTTACAATTGTTGGCAGGGTAGCTTGCCGAGAGGGGGGAGGATAGGGACTGGCTTCCAGAGCTGAGCCTAGAAAGAGAACAGTGTGGGGATGTTTATGGGATGGCAGCTATGGCCTCGCTCTCCCTTAAAGATCATACTGTTCCCCTCAGGGAGTGAGGCAGCTCCCCCTCAGGAGGAGATGAGCTGGGGGCTGCTGAAGAAGATGCCAAAGTCAATGCTTCTCCTTTGACTTGGTCTAAAACCAAACAAGACCAAGGTGGCTCCATCTGCAAGTCTAGCACTTGGGAAGCAGAGGCAAGACAGGAGGATCATTGCAAGTCTGGGATAGCCTGGACTAGTCTATGTATAGAGAGACCCTGTCTAAAAATACAGAAAGGAAAAAAAAAAACACCTTTCTGAACTACTCCAGTATTTGCTTACTCACTGTGTGTGTGTGTGTGTGTGTGTGTAGTTGTGTGCACCATAGCATTTGTGTGTGTCTAAGGATAACTTACAGGAATCAGTTTTTTCCTTCCACCATGTGGGATGAACTCCTGAGATCAAACACAGTTTGCCAAGCTTGGCAGTGAATGCCTTTAACTCCTGAGTCCTGGCTACATTAGTTTTTTTAATTTAATTTTTTTTTACTCATTTTATTTTGATGTATATGGATATTTAGCCTGTCTGTAGGTCTGTGCACCACAGGTGTGCTTGACGCCCTTGGAGGCCAGTAGAGGGTGTCAGATTTCCTAAGACTGAAGTTACAAACAACTATGAGCTGCCATGTGGATGCTGGGACCCGGGTTTGACACCTGGGTCCTTTGGAAGAGCAGATGGTGCTTTTAAGCACTGAACCATCTCGCCAACCTTTCCCCACCCCCACTCCCCAGATACATTTCAAAATCTCCCTCTGGCTCTCACACTATCCTGTCCCCAGAGGCTTGTTAAACCCCAATTGCTGGACCCAACCCAGCTGTGAGGACTAATACAGCTGGTTCTGACCCAGCAGGTCCGTATTAGCACTGTGAGGATTCATAATACAGCCGGTTCTACAGATTTGAAACCCATCTCTTCCCCTTGTCCTCAGAGAGGGACCCTGGGGGGTCTAGAATAGAGTGTGTGGTTTGGATTGCTTAGAAGTGTCCAGAGAGGAAGATGTAGTGGGTACATGCCTGTGACCCCAATACTTAGGAGGCAAAGGCAGGAGACACACAAGGTCCAGGCTAGCCTAGACTACATAAGGAGAGATGACTTTAAAAAAAACAAAGGGGAATAAATAAAAAGAGGATCCAGAATGTTCACAGCGACCATTATTGTTTCCGTTAGGGATACCATGGCTGTGATGAAACCACAATCAAAAGCAGCGTGGGGAGGAAAGGGCTTTTTTCACTCAGAGTTCCATGTAATAGTTTATCATCAAAAGCAGTGAGGGTGGAGGCTGGAGAGATGGCTCAGAGGTTAAGAGCACTGGTTGCTCTTCCAGAAGTCCTGAGTTCAAGTCCCAGCAACCACATGGTGGCTCACAACTATCTATAATACATGAAGGCAAAGCATAGTATCTATACTAAATAAATAAATCTTAAAAAAAAAAAAGCAGTGAGGGCAGGAACTCGAGCAGGGCAGGAACCTGGAATCAAGAGCTGATGCAGAGGCCATGGAGGGGTGTTGCTTACTAGCTTGCTCCCTCTGGCTTGCTCAGCCTGCTTTCTTATAGAACCTAGGACCACCAGTCCAGGGATGG